CAGTGTTTGTAGTTTGGTCCGGGCGAATCCGCCATGTGCCTGGATTGCAGCACGTATCATCAATTGGAAGCACGATCACTCTGAAGCAAGTCTATTCTAGTTTGGTTGATGGAACTGCATCTACAGCAGCTTAGGCTAAGTCTGCCTGAAGTTTGGAGTGCAGTTTTTGGAAGACAGCAACTTCGGAACTCACTAACCAAGTGTTTGTTGTAAGCGACTGAAGGTGGTCAAGTCTCACTTCACTAGCTTGCATACCATGTGAACATAATATTTTTGGCACGGTTGTTCTAGCACGTCCTCTATAATCCAGGTTGTCATCCAACATTTTACACTTGATATTTATTCCTAACACGAAGTTTATATACTCCATAGTAGGTTAAATTGCTTTTACTGATTTGAGTAGTAACGGCCTTGTTTGCTTCAAAGTTTGGGCACTTCGCTGAAATATTAGCGAATTATGCTGTTCATAATCTGGTACAATGTGCCTACTAATGCAACCCTGACATGGTAGAGTTCCTTTTTCTGTATACGTACCTATTCGGAACCACAAGTGCTAACGTTTTTTGTTTAACAGATCTGGTATAGTTTTTTGATGAGGACGAAATATTTAGTTGAGATAATAAGAATCGTATCCACAGTACATTAAGATCCTGTGACTATATTAACCCTGGCACTTATCACAAACTCTTTTTGTTATTATTTATGCGGTCCTTAGTAAAGTTACCGGACGGTTATCAATATGCCATTTACATGAATAATTACTACTCTTTATATACTGGTAGCTCAGGGGGATTGTTCCGTTTCTGCGGTGTTTGCTAAGCTGGGCCACTTGAACGCAGACGTCGCATCGTCATTCGAGGTGAAAACTTCAGTGAAGGAGTGATGGTTATTTTGCAGCGAATTTCGTCGAATTCAAAACTAAAGATAAATCTGTGCTATAATTCAATTACCAAACTTGGAGAACACCACAACACTTGAAACTTCTAAACTGTTGGCTACATTCATTGAGTTTGGAAAATGCAATGTATACTAACCTATATTTGGTGTAGGAAACTCAGGATTAAAAAACATATGTCAGCTGGAATCCAGAAATCGACAGAAGTTGTAGTTATTGAAAAGTCAATTTGAAGTACACATTGTGTGGAAGGATTGCGACGCACGATCTCAAAGTGGACCGCTATTCCTATTGAAGTGAACCTTGGCCATTCAATCACTAGGACCGTAGCTGATGAAGCAGCAGCAAACTGGGTGTTACCTGAAAATCCTGCACTCCATGAGGCATTTCGAGGTCATTTCCTCTCAGCAGATAGAGATAGCAGATCCGGTGGCGTAGGGGTAGCGGTCACAACTAACATCCCAAAAGTCCCGGGTTCGATGTGTGCTGATAAGAGGAAATAACTACTAAACGCGTCATAGAGTGCAGTGTTTTGGGCGGGCGACACTCAATTTACTGCTGCTTCATAAGTTTTAGTTATCTTTTCGGGGAAGGACAAGTACAAATAACGGAATTTGGATTATAAGACTTTCACTTCAGTAAGCCTGAAACAAAAGGTTTCCATTGCAATTCCCAACAAGAAAATAAGGGAAGGTAGTTCATGGGGTAACGTTTACATTTCTTTACTTCTTATTAATCACAAAATTGCAACAGCATAGTTAAGAAACCTATAGTCAAATGCTATCGTAAACAGTTAACTGCTTGCGACACTAAGATAGGCTTCGAGCTACAGTGGAGGTCGTTTCCTATCGATAATTATGGCCTCTAATCGCCTACTTATAAACCTTTGCCGCTCGCGAATTAGGATAGTCAATGATTCATAAGGATTAACTTAATGTCCTGCAGTAAACAAATAGTTTGTGACTGTGGAAGCAGCACGTTAGCCAGATTCAACTTATTCAGTCGTCACATGCCCTGTTTGTCTGCGCAACCCTTGGGATTCTGCTCATGGACTCTGGCAACTAAACATGGGTCAGTTTGCCCAACTTAACTACCACAGCAGCTACGGACGAAATTGTGTGAACAGTGGGACATGCACAGCTTCGTTTTCGGTGTCTTAATCAAACCTATAAACGTAGGTCTCGTCTGAAAAGTAAAGATGATATCTGGGGCAGATGTATCTAAAGACAAATATCATCACATATCCTACTGGTTCTTAATTAGTTTATATGTTAAAAATGTACGAAAGTCCTTAGCACTTACGTGAAAAATTCATGCAAATCAGGATTTGGTTTTAATGTTTTTCAGTCAGACTTCTTGCTTACGTTTGAAGTTGTTAACTACGAAAACCCAGCTGACCGAGATGGCAATGGGATGCGATGCGACATCATGCATCCCTTCGGAGACAAATGCGACCCTGTATTCCGACTCATGGCGGAAAGTGAATATCCGTGAGTGACACAATGTCTCCTCGTTCCTGATATCGAGTCAAAGTTTCACGAATATATGTACATTACATTTTCCTGCTTAATAATTATGCAACTAAGTGCAATGGGTTAAATATTATGGCAAAGATCCGAACAGTAAATATTCAAATATGCTTTAAAACTGCAGGTTTGCTTACTTAACTCACAGCATGTCCATCGTTTTAAGGCCATGACGATCCATGATTTTGGCAAATGAAGCTTCGCAATTAATGGATATAGTGAACTATCTCGTTTAATTATAACCACTAATTGACTCTTTTTCATCGAAAACTGAGTTGGAAAAGTTGAATTTTTCTATACTTCGGCTCCAGCAAAAAATTCATAACTTTATATGACGACAGAAGTGTCAAAAGGGAATTGAGCAGTCCGTAGGCAATACAAAGGTTGCAGCAACATTTGAAAATGGACGTGGAGCAATAGCATTTTTCACGCTTGAACAGGTCAGAAGAATGACTTCCATTGACCGTTTCATATCACTTGAAAAACGTTATTAACCATTAATATACATACGTATATATATGCACTGTCTGTCCATTAGACTAATAGATTACAACTTAGTTGTACTTGACCCACTGTCATCTAAAAGCTGGGCGATCTTATTGAATAACAAAACGGTAATATCAAACCATCCAGTGCGAAACACGTTATGCAAGCGGTGTTCCGAATAGCAATTGCCAACTCAAATTTTGTTTCAGAATGAACTTTGTAATTAACGTAAAGGGTAGTTGTAGTCTTCACAGAGCAAAGATGCAAATGCTGTCAATCTGACTGGTAGTTACCAACCAAATGACTGAAGTAATGAATCCACTAGGGTGGCACTTTATTGGGCAACACTTTGCATCTCACATAGATCCTTCTTTTGTCTAATTGAATCGCTGCAAACTTGGTACAACCATTAACTAAACCTGCATTATGGTCTTAATGATCAGTAAGTAACGGGAGTTATGCAGTGATTAGTTAATAGACAAAAGGAAGTTGAATTTTCGAAAGGGCCAACTATCTTGTGTGACATAGATGCAATTGAAGAACTTCGTGTTTGAAGGCTGATCGATCGGGTGTATTCCTAAGAATAAGTACACTACAAAGCACAAGCCAAATAACGGGCGAGTTGCACACGAAAACTGTTTGACACAGGATGCGCATGCCATAGCGCGCATGTTGGCCACAGTAAGTGAGACTGGTTTGGCAAATGTCGTGACCAGTGCATGATTCCACGAGTAACATCGCAAATGCAATTAACAAATGAAGAAGAAATCAACAATGCCTGCAGTTAACTTGACAGTATGATCGCGATGGTGTCACTGGTTGTGCGGTGAGCTGCCTAAACTCGCCCAGTGTGAATGGTGTCAGTTGATGGATTCAGGATAGACATCGAGCATTAAACAACTGCCAAAGCCCTGCACAAGAGCTTAGTTGTGATCTGCTGGTTAATAGTGACACTACTGTCCTGTCCGTTGACACCGTGACATTTGAAATTCTGCTGTCTTGTAATGGTACTTATTGGTTAAGACAAACTTTAGTTGGCAATATTGTTTATCTCGTCTGCAAACAATAGTGCAGCAGCTGAGCGCTGATGCAGAGTTCAATACAAATGGACTAAATCAAATCCGGATCCGAAGCCACTCATACTCAAGTGATTCTGGATCCTCCATTAGTTCAGTGTAATTAATTCTGGAGACAAATCAGTTGTCTCCACATCAAGGGTCTTCTGCAACTAACGTATATATAATATGGCCAATTTATACGCCATTCTCAAACCCGTTTACACAAAAAACAAACAGCGACTTTGCTACTATGCATATGTTAGTTTAATAAGAAGTAAGTTATTTTATACTATGTTCCGTAATGTTGGATCGATTACTATGTTTTTAGGTGGAAACCAACGAAACGGCTGATTACGCATATCTAAAATGTCCTTACTTACCCTAAATGCCTTTCTTCCCACATGGGAGGCTTTCAAAAATATTTTAGCCACATGCTTCATCAGGAATAAGGGTTTATGCACAAAACGACCAAAAATGTTGCAATTGGCAACCTTTATGGCTACCTAACTTTTCTCTGACCTGTCCGTAATTGTCTAGCAATACTTTGCGCGGAGTGTGTTTATATTATGACGTTGCAACCTACTTTAAGGATGAGTAAGTCTATAGACAAAATTTAACGAAGTCAATGGCAGTATTCAATCCACAAAGCAACCTTAGTTGTGACACAAGCATTTGCTTTCCTTTGCTTCGATTTTCATACAGGAGGAAACTATTTAGTTGCAAATGCGATATACCAAAACAGAATCAGATTCTTAGTAACTGAGATTTAGCTGCAAGATTATGTGAACGCACCCCGTTTATTATTGCACGTACAATCACTTAACTGTTGTTACCCCCGTAGAGATAAGTAACAATTATTCTAACTTTAGCATTCCCAGGTGCTACGTGAATAAGTCCAAATAAATGATTCACCGCATCTTACTTCCCCTTGTAAATACGCCAATGAAATTTTTACCCGTCTAATTTTTAGAGTCAAACTAAATCGAATGGCTTTTTTTGCAGATTAAGCGTTTGGCCACTGGTGTACAAAACATCTGGGCCTTTTTATGATACGAAAGAAATTACCAACGTTACGAAGGCAGATGCTTGGATGAGTGGGTTTCCGGTATGCACACTAGTTTAGTACATATATTTAATTTTAAATTATAGTCGAAGATAGTTTTATTTGTTTTCAGGATTAAGAGAAGTATTCATAAAAGCAGTTGCTATGCTTACATCAACTTTCACATTAGTCACTTATGTTTATATCATCCTTCAGATTTGCTTTACTTTTTGAAATAACTTTAACCAAAATAAATGTTGTGAATCGTATTGGTTAAATATAGTAGCGCTTACAGCTGACTGTAAGCGAAAGAATTCAGAACAGCGGAGATTTCATCCCTTAATCATAAACAAGTCCAGTGATGACATCACACGTAGATGCGTTAAGGTAGCCATCACACATCTGTAAAACACTGAACCACCTCTTATCCTTTCGGGACTAACCAGGTAATGGGCCTTACATTTTCTTAGTGTGAAGCCATAACTTGCAATATTAAGGGTGGTATGACAAGTAAAACTATCGATAATTCATGTAGGATGATTACCGACTTAATCCTATTAAAAGATATGACATATGGCTATTCACTGATTTACAGATTGCTTCTGCGGAGAGCAGCACCATGCGAAACACAAACACCAAATAACCTGGTCTAGTATAAGCACCTTTGGGAAGCTAGTGAAAAATAGGAATAACATACTGGTTTTGTCTTTTGGATTATTTAACAAAGTCATATACCAAGAGGCGCCTTTAAATGTTTAGATTGATCAGGTTAGTTGTCGGCTTAAGTACTTATAGGTGTTTCCGAGGGAACATGTTGCATAACATTGCCTATAATGCATATAACAATGTTCCAAGATTTCACATACCGGATCCATGCACATAGGTAAACAGTGTTACCACATTTAGGTAACTCGTCACTTGATACTAACTTTTCTAACGATGCTATTAAATTCTATCATAGTCCTACATTCGTGTAACTAATGCACAGTTGTCATTTTGGATATTTATGGTGGAAGGTGGTGTAATACGAACAATACTTTATGCAATATAAAAAATATTGTGTTGCTTTAATACAAAAGCTGAGCTACCGACATCTATGGTTTAATTCCTGAAGTGGAAAATGATGACTCCGTGGTCCCTAATCAGTGAAGTGAAACAGAAATAAGCTAGTTGCGTAGTGTAACACTGAAAGCAGGCACCGCCTATTACTTGAGGTTGAGTCATAGTTTAATCATATATTGATGAATTCGACTCATAATATTAAGTTGATAAATGTAAATGATGCCTACGCTGCTGCACTGTACTTGTTTGATTGTATCCGGAGTACTAGCCTCAGTAGGACACAAATCTCCAGCTCAAAAAATACGTCTATTCCGAACATTAATCTTTTAACAGTTGTCGGTGAATTGCTCAGTAGGCAGTCTTGTGAAGGAAGCCTGCCAATAATTTAACCTGATAGCCTAAATGTGGGGATATTACCAAGCGTTTGAATCTAAATCTAAATTTTGAGCTATTTAGTTCAGAATTTAAGGTATTGTTTCCCAAACTTAGTAAATATTTAACAATGATTTATCACTGGTAAAATCGCGGCTCCTTGACAAGTATCATAAGGCAACTGGGGTTAAATTTACAAAATCAAATGATATACGAGTTGTCTGTTTAAGCTCCATTGAGCATATGTGCTGCTGAATAACGGCAATGCCAACTAAGAATTAAACCCAAGCATACAAGACAAAATGGGGGGACTAGATCTAACGAAGGTAACCACTAAGCAATTTAACAAAACAACTACGCTCACTCTTGTGCTGCTTTCCTGGGTTGATGTGATATATAAATCCGCGTTGCGGGTCTACTTAATGTGTTCCACAGGTACCAAGAGGTAAAGAGTTAAGAACATCAACTCATTCCAAGTGGCGTTTGGTGTACCCGCTGTGTGGTTGTATTGCGACTTGCAATCTCTAATCGGACCTCGTTCCTCATTCAAGTAGACCTGAGTCATTAGGGTCATAAGGACCGTATCCGTATTGGTAGTTCGATGTTACTCCTCCCAGGGTTGGGAGGATCAACGCCGAACTACCAACAAATCGTTTTGTGAAACAATCCAAATTGAGAGAGCAGACAAATGAGTTTGCAGCAGAGTTCAAAGGATCGCAAACTTGAAGAGAAAAGTAATTTCGTTCACATGTTAGACGACTGAATGGTGCACTACTTTTCATGCAGTTAGCTAAGGATTGGATTTTGGCTAATTTCCAGAAAATGACGGCATACATGGGTCTGTCAGACAAAAGTTGGCAAGATAATATGAATACACCGCCTAGCCTTCAATAGCATCCGTTGAAAACTCTCAGTATCCTTAGCCTGTTTGTAAAGCAGATTGCGAAAATACTTGACGTTCTTCGTTGCCCTGCGTTAGGTTGTCTGTGGCATCTAAAATTGGTTCTCTAAGTTTGGATAGTGTATTGAACGTAAGGACGCATACAAGAGTTGGGTATCGTCAGGAAGATGGATGTGCCGAAACTCTTGATTTCGCAGCAAGGACAAAAGCTGATTGCGTGGTATTATGTAAACAACGAATTTTGCAGACTAAAACGAAACGCACGAAATAAAGAGCTGATATATTCTAATTTGGGAATACTTAAATCTCAACCATAAATCATCCCATCTTGAATAGGGATGGAGCAGGATGCAAAGCGCTTTATCCTCTAAAACACTATAATAGGATTACTATAATAGGATTACTTTTTGGTTTTCCATGGATGCTATAACTGATTAATATTTGGTATAATCTATCACGTCCAACCAGCTCTGTATGATGGGATGGTCATTTTAAATTGCGTTTCACACTAAAGTGAATCCTGATCACTTTGATCACCAGGACCATAGTTAGGGAATCATATAAATAATGGGTGTTACTTGCCTTAAAACTGCATTCTACGACCAGATTTGCAATTATTTGATCTGACAAGCAACGTCTAACATGCATCCGCTTAATCAGGCGCGGTCCCATTGATCTTACTTTACATGATTTCCCCAGAATTCCTAGCTTGAGACGTGAAGCAACCCGCTCAGCGCGGAATGATCGCAACAGCTACTGAACTTTAACTCAGGCAATATGAAAGCTACATTAAATGATGGCAACACGGCCATCTTTTTCCGCTCATCCGTTTAGTCTTCGCAAACGTGATTCACTACAGTCGATATTGCGCAATTCAGGTGATCAAAACCTCCCTGATACAGAAGAAACACATACCAGATGAGTGGAATAATTTAGCAACCTCCTAAAACGCCAACTACACATAACAGCAACCATTTCAGCATTATTCCATTCAGTATATGACGCGGATTGCTCACCACCATCTCCCACATTAGTTGGGGATATTGTTTGTTGCCTGAAGCCGAAGAAGGCTGCTGGTGCGGACGGAAGTCTTGCCGAAAGCTACAAGTCTTGTCCACCAGCCCTCCTTGGCCATTTGCACGAGATCTTCTGCTAGATATAGGAGACAGAATCCTGTCCTTCCTCATGAGGTACTTCAGTTTTACTGCTATTTCCCAAGATGGTTGACCGAAAGTTGTGCAGTAATTCTCGCGGTATTAGCTTAATTTATGCGGCTGTCAAAGTCTTCCACGAAGCTTAATTTCCTGCTTTGCCAATGAGAGAAACCTGCGAATTCGCCATGACCAAATGGTTTTTGCCCAGTCAGAGGCTGCACTGATCAAACCTTCACTCTATATTGGGTATATGAACAGTTTCAGCAGTCAGCCTTTGTGTGCAACATAGATATTTGATCTACCTTCCATCGGCTAAAGGTGCAGCACTCCGAAAAAACTTACTTGTCGATGGCAGGCTGGTTAAACTCGTTAACCTGATGTCATACTACCTTTGAAGGAAGGCTCGAATTCAGGTTTATGGAGAAGAAACAGAAGATTTCGACATCGATACTAGTGTCCCGCATGGTTGTTTATTTCCTCCAGTGCTGTCCCACTTTGCGGTCGTCTGGGGTATGAGAGCTATAGTAGTGTACAAGTTAACCTTGAATTCTGGCTGCCAGACCTGGAATTCGCGGCCGTTAATGCTATACTTTCACAAGATCTTACAGTCCCTGCTAAGTCGGGTATATCCATCAGCCTGTATGATGGGCGTCGAAATTACCATCGTCAGGCACCCAGTGCGCATCGTCACTTTTCTTGCATGGACAACTTATTGAGTCTGTTGCTGAATTCAAGTTCCTTGGATCAGCTATTCTCCCGAATGCTCAGGATACCTCCGAAATCCGGGGTTGGATTGATAGCGCCAGAACCGCCTTTTTACAACTAAGAAACACATCGTGATGATGGATGGAAATTTGTCTTCGAAGGAAAATCCGAGTATTCTCAGCAATCATTAGAGCTATTTTATTCTATTGTTGCGAAACATGGCTGCTGCGAACCGAATACACGTGGGAACCAATAGTCTCCTACCACTGGTGTCTAAAACTTATTTGAGAATGCAGGGACATGAGCGTGTCACCAAGGACGAAGTTTGTATGCGCTGTTGCGGTCTTCTTTAGCTCCCAGAGCATTTCAATACTGTAAACTTCAATGGTTCGGCAGGTCATCCGCAGACCAGTCTGACTTCACTAAGGCCGTGTATTTGCCCTTGTTTTGCCAGGGTTAGTGTCTTCACCCTGGCTGTAGTTAAATCGGATGTCTATCTTCTGGGACTCAGGTTGTGTATGGTGCTTGTCATTGAAGAAATCACTGGATCAATATCTGCTTGGAGCTTGCCCTTGAAGACTTCTGGTGGGCAGCTCCAATCTATGACATACATGAAGCCTGTTCATTCTACTGCAGCATCTAGCCGCAGTAAAGTGAGTAAGTAGGTCCCAGTGGTGGAAGTGATCAGGGTTCACATGAAACCTAATGAAACTTCAGATAGAGATTACTGGTCGCAATCCATTCGCACAACGAGCAAATCAAAATTACCCCCAATCAGCCGGTACTGGTTTTGTCCAGTAACGTCCGTCGTGACACGGGGGTTAAAGCGTAAAGTTTTCTTCTATTAGCAGTGTTTAAAAAGCGCCTTG